TTTAATGTTGCAAAGTCTCTCCATGGAGACTTCTTCCTAAATAAGGAAATTTATTTGGGTTTTGGTTTTGAAGTTGTTTCTTTTCCTTGGTTTATTTAGCTGGGTTTTTTGTTTTTTGTTTTTCTTTTAATAAGAAGAGGATAAGTTCTGGACAGGAATTTTTTTATTATTACTGCTTAACCTTCTCAAAGGATATTACAAAGAAAGAAATGTAAAGTGGGTCAAACTTACAAAAAGTGTGAGATGTTTTCCCTTTTATAAAATAAGAGAAACAAGGCATCCGAGTTTCTAAGGACCTAGGGGGGAAATAGCTTATGTCTTAGGTCATAGTCTTGCTGAAAGTAAGTAAGAGGTCATTTGTGTGCATATGAAGGCCCAAATGCAGTGAATGGCTAATACAGTAGTTAGTGTACTCTTCTGGCAGTTCCAGAGCATGGGGGTAGTTGTCTGTATTTGTTCACTTTTTAAAAGTCATTCATAAAAAGTGGGAGAAGTGGTGAAGGGAGAAACAGTAATCTGAAACTTTCTTTCATAAGGCCTAGAATTACTAATGATGGCCCAGGAGTGTAGCATGAGTTAGGTACATGTGCTGGTTTTGACTGGGATAGAATTTATTTCCTTTACATGACTGGTTTGGGGCAGTGTTTTGAATCTGCACTCAATACAGGGTTGATAATATAGAAATGTTTTTGTTATTGCTGAGCAGGGCTTACACACAGCCAAGGCCTTTTGTGCTTTTCTTGCTGCCATGCTTGTGAGGACCTTGATGGTGAATGGTTGGTTGGGAGGAGACACAGCCAGGGCAGGTGACCCCAACTGATCAAAGGAATGTTCCAGACCATCTGCCATCCTGCTCAGTGTATAAAGTGGGGGGAAGAAGGGGGGACATTTGGAGTAATGACGTTTGTCTTCCCAAGTCGCTGTTCTGTGTGATGGAGCCCTGCTCTCATGTACATGGCTGAACACCCTCCTGCCTTGTGAAAAAAACCCCAGAAGAAAACCACAGGGGAGATGCCACCATTGCTGCCTCAGCTGTCTGCCTGCAAGAGTGAAAGGAAAGAGCAAGAGCCACAGGCAAGAGAGAGCTCTGCCTGCACAACCCCAACTTCAAAATGGCCAGAACCTGCTGGCCCCAAGGCTCCATTTCCAGATCCAGCGTCTTAAAGACACACTTCCCATTCTGGGCACAGATAGATGTGGAATACAATAACCTTTTGGGTAACCCAGGACACTGGATGCATGACAGAGCTGGACCTTTTTTCTTTGTGATTAAAGAGGTCTACTTACTGTTTTTTGAAAAAGATGCCCCCGCTGGTTTTGTCCAGGTAATGATGACTTCCCAGCAGAGCTGAACTTGGTAGGAATAAGTTAATTTTGGAGAGAGCTTCAAGAGAGAGAAAGAGCATCTTAGAAAAGAAATGGAACTGGCCAACTGGGAAAACGTCAGCAATGCTTTTCCTTTGTGCAGGAATCATCCACCACTGCAGCTGCCTGCCTTGTCAACGTTTGCAAAATACTGTTCCTTGATTGGGGGAAGCTTGCCAGTAGTTGAAGATGAATGCTGTAAAAGAAAGCATGTTTATTTTAGTCTGTATGAAGTAGAAGGAGGAACTACTTAGAATTGTGTAAAAATGACTTGTTTTACATTTATAACTTGGCAGCCCAATGACTTGAGAATTTGGAATGTGAAACTGATCTGAGAGTGAGCTGGGGACTTTGTTGCTGCAGACTGAGAATTAATATTTTGATAACCATGCTATCTGCTTTGTGGATGAGGATGTGTTGCTTGCTTCAGAGAAATTCTGGTTGTCTCCATAGGCTTGTGGTTATAGACAGCTTATAATTTTGTTTGTATTTCCATTGTCAGATTCTAGTTGTCAGCTTTTTGATGAAGAGGTAGTTGTACATTTAGCTCAAGTTGTACTGCTTTGTATTGTTTTTAAACTAAACTCTGAGGTAATGGATAGAATCCAGACTGCTGCAAATTACAGCACTTCAACTTCCCAGCCCTTGCCCCACCAAAGAAAGTTTAGTGTGCATCTCAACAGGACAATACTTTCTCTGTTATCTATTCCTTATGTCTATTTTTGGAAATACTGTTTTTGGAAAAGCAGTAGTTTACATGCCCATTTAGTTTCATGACTTCATTCCTTGATAGTCTATAAAAGCAAATAATGCTGCCTACTGTGAGGGTGGTGAAACACTGGAACAGGTTGCCCAGAGAAGCTGTGGTTGTCCCATCCCTGGCAGTGCTCAAGGCCAGACTGGATGGGGCTCTGAGCAACTTGATCTAGGGGACACTGTCCCTTCCTGTGGCAGGAGGGTTGGAATCAGATGATTTTTAAGGTCCCTTGTAGCCCAAGCCATTCTGTGATTCTGTCTATGACTGGAGTTTGTTCCAGTGGTATCTCTGCACAGATAACTGATTTGAAACTGCAATGTATTCCCCACAGCTGCAGTGGTATTACCAGCAACAGCTGTCATGTTCTGTGCTCAAATCCAGCTTTTGGTGCAAAAGAATGTGGGTCCTTATAGCACATTTCTGTCCTGAGCCTCTGCCTGGATTCTAGACCTGATTTGTGTGTCCAAAATTCTGTAATACAATCACTCTGGGACTTTTTGAACCAGTAGCTATGGAATAGCAGAAATAAAGCTAGAAAGTTACAGGCACTATATCTGATTAGTGTAAAGTAAAACACTCTAGACATACATCAGGTAATTCTGAAAATGGAATTTAAATTGGTATTATTATTTTGATTGTTACAATTAGGATCTACAGATTTATGAACTACTCTGTGTTGAGAAATGGAGATTGATGCACACTAAACTGTAATCCACTCATCCATCATGAAGCTTCTGCTAGAGATCCATTTCATTTCCAAACAGAAGAATTCATTATCTATCTCCAGAGAAATTTTTTTTCTTAAGGATCAGCATGTGCAGTGAGCTATCAGACAATATTCTACAGCAAACAAGCTAGGAAGCAGCTGTCTCTAGCATACAGTTATGAAACTGAAGAATTAAAAATTTCCCTGGGCAATACAGAAGTACAAGGAATTATCTAGTGTCCCAAGAGAGTTAACAAATATGGGTCCAATTCATTGCCTTGCCAGTTTTTCTGTGTAATCTACATTGGGAGACATTGGTTTGCCAGCACAGTCTTGTTTGGTTTTATCAGTCTAAAACTATTCAATGTAATGTGCATGAAGTTTGTGCTTAAAAGCATGCTGTGCAGTTGTGGGCAGCGTGGTGTCCCAGGAGCTTGGTTTCAGTGGGATGCAGGGTATAGCCTGGGTGCTATACTGTGCTGAGCTCTCTGTAGGCAATGTTAGTTTCTTTAATTCAGACCTTCTGGTTAAAATGGCCCAACACCAAATAAATCTGACTCTTCCAAAAACACATATGGATTCTAATGTATATTTCCTTGTGAATTCTGGCAGTGCAGCCTAATGCAGGGGTGTGCCCTTAAAGCAAAATCACAGAAATGGCTTTCTGGAATAGATGGCTAATAACTCCTCAAGCCCTTCTATGACCAATACAAATGGTGTTTCACATGACAGGACAAAAGCTTTCTGTGTCTGTAGCACAAACAGATCCCAAAATTGAAGTTTCTAATCGTATTGTTTAAAATATCTGTTTTCTGTGAATGGTGTTCAGGGGATAATTCCTTTAGGAAGGCTGACAGTCACTTGGCTGCTTGGTACAGTACTTTCCAGTATAAAAATAAACTGCAGATGTTTGACACACAAATGTCAGGATATTTAACTTTGGGTTAGAGTTTGCAGATGTCATGTGTGTTGTGGAAGCTAAATCTCTGTGTTAGGGTGAAAGAGAGAAGAAGTACATGGCACCAAACCCTGAGAGAAGCATGTCTTGTGTGTGGCCAATGCATCCTGACCTGTGGACACTCTCTCCTTTTTGATGTTCAAAAAATCCTGACTGCTGTCATCAGTAGTGAATTGTGCCTGTTCCACGGTTTTGAGGGTGCTCATTTGTTATTGAGGAGTTCAGCTGTTGGGTGATTTTCTCTCTCCTGTAGAAATGCCCCCATAAGAGGGGAGTTTTGTGGAGCACTCTGATGTTTTAACTGCGCACAGCATTGTTTCTTTCATCAGAGCAGTACCCAGGAAGCAGAAGTAAATTTGGACATGCCACAACCAAGTTCTTCCTTCCAGTCAGGCTTACCACAGCATTTTTGTTGACAAAATGGTCCAAATGTTTCACCTCTTGAATTGTTTTAAATCCTCTCTAAAAGACGTGATGCATGCTTTATGCTGGTGGTGTTTTGTTTGTTTTCAAAGCAAGAGAGTAAGGCTGCCATCTTTGAACTTTGCAAGTCTTGAGAAAGGCTGAGTTTGGACAGTTTATCTAAACATGATGCTTACAGCTGTGTTTCATTGAATGCACTTAATGGCTGACGTGACAGACCCATTTGTTCATTTTCACAGAGTAGTAACTGATTACATTTTCTCTTGGCTATCATTCAGCTAAAGTTGCATTGTCCTGTGCATTGTTTCCTTTCTCAGCTGCTAAGTCATTATTTTGGAAACAACTCTCCTTTTTGTTTGATTTTTTTAATATGGGGAGTGGTTTGGGATTTTTTGGTGGAGTTGTTTCAGTTTTCTTGGGAGGGAGAGGGGGGTTGTGTTTTGGGTTTTTGTTGTTTTGTTGTTTGAGTTTTTTCAGGGCCATGTGTGTTTTGGGGAGAAATGGAGCAATGTTGATTTTTGCTTAGTAGTACTAATACAGAGGTTTCCTACACATTAAGGATTCAGTTCCAGGATCTTCTTCATTTCTCCCCATTTATTCCAGCCTGACTTTATCATCATATTTAGTAGGAATTTCTTTATGGAAAATGAGTGCAGCTGCAGCCTAGAACATGTGGATTTTTTCCTTTTAGACCCAGCTAAAATATGAATATATAATATTTTTAAAGTTAAAATAAAGCATGATTGTTTGACAGCCCAGTAATTTACATCTCTTATGGTTTATTTGTCTAGGGAGGCAGCAGCAGCTGGAAGCTGAGGACCCCTACGTGGAGGCTGATCAGGACCTGCACTGGAGGGTGGAGCGGTCAGTGGAGCCGCCCACAGAACGGCCTGGGGAGAGGCGCATGGCAGAAATGAAGAAGCTGTATGGGGCTGAAGCTGCCAAAATCCAGGCAATGGAGGCTGCCATGCAGCTCATCTTTGATAGGAACTGTGACAGAAAGCAGCCCAAATACTGGCCCATTATTCCCCTTAAGCTGTGAGTACCTGCACTGTGCTCTGACGTGGCAGATTAATCACACCAGAAATAAGTAAGAGATAAATCACACCAGTGCTACAGGGTCAGGTGCCTCAGGCTGGGCTGCTGAAAGAACAAACTGCAAGTTTGGTTTTGAACTTTGAGGGAGAGTCTGGCAAGGACAGTATGTATTTCTTTGGCCTTTCTTGTCTTTTACAGTGTCTGTCAGTGATGTTCACATTCAACACACATACAATTGTCAAGTAGTAATAGGAGGGACAGGAATATCAAACATGTCTAAAATTCAGCCATTTGATACCCACTTGCCTTGACCACACATGCAAGAAACATAACAATGTCCATACCCAGTGAACTGGCAAAACTTAAAGCAATGCAGAGAAGAGAAAGACTACAAATCGTCTGCTCTTCTTGTTTAGGAATTTGAGTGATCACATTTTCTAGTCTTATTTAACATAGTAGTATTAGGATCTTGTTTCACACAGCATAGCTTGAAGTGTTATGTCTGCTAATCTTGGATTTTTTTGAGAATCAGGAGCCCACTGGCCAAGATACAACTTATCAAATTACCATAGCCCAGACATTGGAATTCTTTTTCAAAGGTTTATAATAAAGCAGGAAGTTTTTCTTCCAGACTGATACTTGTCTGGCAGGAGTTTGACTCTAAAGCAACATTATATAGAAAAATGTTTTAATGAAGGGGTGGGAGGATCGGGCAGAAGCCTGATGTGGTTCTGTCTGTTAGAGATATGTTTAGCAGAAGAGAAACTTAAGAGGACACAGTGCTATTGGAGCCAGTGCCTACAGTGATTTTTGCTTGAAGCTTTAAAGAAGGCTTATTAGAGTGATAGACTATATCTGACCAATGTTTACAGAGCTGTGGAAGCCAGGTAGCCCTGTGGGCTGTATGTCTGTTTTAGGTGCAGGTTTCCACTGGCCAAGTGCATAGGACGTGCACAAAATTTAAACAGAAGCAAGTAGATGTGTTTTCATCCATCTGCACAGAGATGTGCCTCTGTGTGTGCTCATCCATCTGCACTAGCTGTTTTGGTTCTGCTTCTGTCACTCTTTACTTTGGGACAGTTATGCTTGCCACACAGAGTGAGACACACTGGTGGTTTGTGTAAATGTGGCTGAACTGGCCCCTCAAAACCTGTGGCTCCTTAGAAATGGTGCCCTGAATGCTTAAAAGGACTCTGCTGATAAATATCATTGTGGATTGAAGGGTAGTAGTTTGTGACATTGCTGCATTTCCATGCCAGGGCAAAGGAATCGTCTGCTGGTTTCATAGTGACACACTCATCTGCCTTCCTGGCAACAGAAGAAGGTTACAAGTAAAATTTTAACTTCAGTTCATGCTGACTGAGTGTCCAGAGTTTCTCTGTGGCATGTGTAGTTTGTAATGCACTCAGCAGTTGCTGTGCCCTCTGCAGCAGCCAGCTGCAACAAAACAAGTCTGCAGTGCAGTTTGGAATATCTTTGCTTTCAGTAGTAGTTACTGTTTTTTCAAACCAGAATTTCCATGTCAGTTCCACATCTTTCACAGATGAAGTTAAACTGAACACTGAAATGAAAAAGCCTCCAGTTTCCAAGACTTACTTCTGGTGTGATTAATCTGAAAAACTTCAGTGAGACAGGAGAGAGAAAAGGATTATTAACAGTTATGCATTTGTTGTCACTCTTGTTTTTGGTGGGTTTTGTCAAAAATTCAGTGTTTTGTTTGGGTTTCCTTCCTTTGACCAAATAAATTTTCTTCTTAACACCTTGTAAATTACTTTTATTTTTTTTATATAAACAAACTTCCATACTTAAAACACTTCAGTTCTTAGATGGTAAAGCTTTCTTTTAGCTGCTGTATTGTTTAAGGAAGATTGAACTTAGAGCAGGAGTGGTTTTAACATATGGAGAAGCACAAGGAGTGTTGACAGGACTTTCACAGCAATGTCAGGCAATACCACACATGCATGGTGTGGTGCAAAATGAATGGGAGGGTTGCTGTATCCACTGGGGCAAAACCCTGTCACAGATTAACATGCATAAATTTCTCTGTTCCTATTTGAAATGTTTCCAGTGTGGTGATGGTGTTTTCCCTGTGCACTTCAGTTCAGAAAAAAAAGGAAGAATGGGTGAAGTAGGACTGGGCTGTTCTTACTTTTCAATACAAGTTCCAGTTCTTGCTGTGGCTGATTCTTTATCCAACTGGTTCTGCTAGCAGAAGCAGAAATTCTGGTCTCAAAAAGTATTTGTGGAGACCTCATATAAGACAAACATTGAATTCCTTTCCTACTTCACATAAAATGTAAAATAAATCTATAAAAAGAAATATATAAAGGAAATTACCTTGCCTTTGGTTTTTTAAAGTATTTTTAAGAGGGTTTAATATGCTTAAATATGCTATGAGGTTAGGAGGAGAGAGAACTGGATGAATTGTTCCTTAGGAGCTATGTACTAACTCCTGAAATACCCTACTGCAGATTTAAAAGTTGCTGCTAAATAATCTCATTGCAGGGGATGGGCCAGCAAAAGGGGACATCTGGCCAACTACCCCTGGATGTCCCATTTTGCTGGATATTCAGCAGAACTTGAAAATTCTGTGTTGCAGTTCTTTTACTCTATCTTTCATGTTGTTTTGCATTTCTGATAAATACCTCACATAAAAGCATGTGATCATGGAGGAAATGCAGTAGCAACTCAGAAATGCCACTTCAGTCATCTGTAACATTCACCTTTCTTGCACACATGTATTCTGCTGCAGTCCTCAGTCATGGGAACATGTGCACCTTTTTTGCCCAAAGACACAATGTTCCTTGACTAGAATGCAGCTGTGGTGCTGCAGACTTGATTCTTCCTTCTCCAGAAGGTTGCACCTTTGCTTTCAGTTATGCCAGCTCTTGGTGTAGTCCTGCCCAAAGGGAATTCTTCACTTGCTGGTGGTATACTGTTTCTCATGAGCTTTTCCCAGCTCCAGTACAAGGATTATTATACTCTGAAGTCAAAAATTGTCATCCAGTCAGTCTTCATTTCAAAAACTGGTTTCCTCATTTGTTACAAACAAATCAGCCTTATTTTCAGGAGAAGAGTGTGTGATTGGTTGAAGATGCTTTTAAGATAGGAGAAAAATGTAATAGGTCTTTTCTACTAAAAGCCTTCTTAAAAGGAATGAGCAAAAAATCCCTTTCAGAATTGGTGTGATATAAATGTAACATAGAAATGAAGCAATGACCTGTTTCCTACTGAAAGAAAAATTGCTTACTTTTATGGTGATGTTGTCAAGGGGACTTGTTCTTTTAGAATTTTTTCCCCATATAGCAGCTGACAGCTCAGTGTGCCTGTGTGTACAGAGAAGAGATTCAGCCCTTTTGATGAGCATCATTTTCTCAATCAACATTACAGGTAGGTATTCATCCTTTTTGACAGGGGTCTCATTAATGGCTGGCTGCAAAAATCTCACATTTGGAAAAAGTGTTAATAAAAAGCAACTTAAATTTCTCTAACAGCCTTTATGAAGGATAAACATCACATATGTAACACATAGAGATTTGGTTGTTTGTGTCTTTCTCTTAGTTAAAGCTTCTCATTCATTATGTGAAATATGCTGTAAATATTGGTGTCTTCATCTCTTGTTGCACTAATCGCAGTCTAGTTCTTGATGTAGAAATTGAGAAAAACAAGACACAGATTCAGCTGCTTGAATTTTGAGTTTTAAGTGTGATTTTTGGCATGCTGGGCTGAACATTTTGGCTGAAAGAATTAGAGAGGGGCCAAGATTATTGCCCAAAATGTGAAATATAGTCTGTCAAAATGAAACATCCCAACTCTGTTTTCCCTCTGGTTTCTTAAAAGTGTAACCTCCTGGAAAATGTATTATTTGATAAACAATACATTCATGCTGTGACAAAAATCTTTTTTCATGTTTGTGTGATAATCAATCAGCTGTCCACCCTGGCTAACCTGTTGTCTCCTGTGTTCCTGCATGGATAGTCCAAAGGACACTAATTCTTATGGACTCTTTTTCAGGCAGAATAGCAGCCTGTAAGGGAGTCTCAGCTGCATCTGAAGGGTGGTTATAGCCTCAGGGTGTTCAAGGCTTCCCACCTCTTCCTGGGTTCTCACATAGCTGGAATTGCTGAGCTGGCACACAGTGACAGTGCAGAGGCGGTGGGTGGGTGACAGACCATGACATTGCCATTTGGGTGTTGTGTTGGAGACTGGCTGTCATGGCAGAGGAATTGCTTAGACTCAGTCCATTCTTTGGAATTGGTTGTACAGGCATCAGCCTCAACTACTAATATTGACAGGCCAGGAATGCTCTGTCTTTCTTGGCCAAAAGTGGAGAAAGACTTGCTTCTCAGTAATGGAGATTCTCTGAGCATGGATTTCATTACACAGTCACAGAACAAATTTTTTCCCCTTCAGTCATTAATCCTTTTCTTCTAAGAAGGCAGGCAAGCAGAGTAAATGCAAACACACATAGTTTTTGAAAAGAAAATACTTTTCAGCCTAATGGTGCCAATACCACAGCTGGTTCCCTAAACTACATTGAGATCTTTTGCCTGCAAAGCCTTTTGGAAAACCAGAATACACATAACTGCTATCCCCATGACTTGTTTTCAGCCATCCCAAAGACATAATTTGTGGGGAGGAAGGAATGAGAAAAGAGGAAAGAATTGGTGGGTATTTCTTCTAAATAGAGTTACAAGTGGTACTCCTTAACTTTAAGAGTTTGTTTGAAATAAAAGCAACAATTTTTTGACTCAGTAAGAAGTGAGGCAAAAGTCTATGAGGAGCTTTTAAAATTAAATTACTCCACTGTCTTTGGATGTCCATAATCTGGACCTTACTGATAGCTGGGGAGGGCTAAAAAATAGTGTTAGTAGTGTTTTATTCATGTCCCCTAGACAGCTGCCATCAGGCGTTGGCACAGGAAGATAACAAGATTTCTGATCTGTTTATAGGGATGTTTAGAATCTTTCCACATGCTTCTACTGAAGATGAAGATTGAAATCCCAGTCCTGAGGTTCAGCTTTCAGCCATCTCATGCATTTTCTTGTTACAGCAACCCCTCCTGTCTGGTGATTCAGCTCCACCAAAGTTTACTGTTATTGAGGTCAAAAGGAGTCAAGTTGGAAGACACCTAGTGCTAAGCTGTTTAATATAATCCCATTTACTTGTTATTTGAGATTGTGCATGAGATTCAGTAAACTCTTTTGGTCTATGCTTGTACAAGCAGCCAGCATGAAAAAGTCTCTGCATTGTATTTATGCAATTTTGATACTCATATAGCTGTGTTGCTCCCATCCTTTGCATTGGACAGGAAAAGATCTCAGTCATCACGTCTGGTTTCTGCCACCTCCAGCAATAACATCATCTCATACATTTCAAAAACTAATTAGGAAATTCCATTTCCTGTCACCTCCACATCTGCTTGTTCAGGCTGCAAGGCCTGCTTCTCACTTGCAAAGTGTAATAAAATACCAGGAAATTTAAGTTGTCCTTGTCAGAGAGCTGCAAAAAGTGTAAATATGGTTACAGATTATGTATATTAGGCTTTTTTTAGAATTAAGATCCTATAATATCTTCTATGTGGACTGAAGGCAGGGACTTCAGAGAAATAAATGCTTGAAGTATGTTTTTACTTAAACAATAACTCATCAAAGGCCACGCTTCTGGTCTGTAGCATATTCCATGAAGTGGCTGAGTAATAGCTGAAGGCTCCCCTTCTGCTGTCCTTTCCTGAAAAGTGGTGAGGTTGAGATAAAACCTCAGCCAGTTCTGCTGCAATGCACTTGAAACACAAGTTATGTCAGTTTCTCCAAACAGAATAATTCTTACGTGACTGCAGAATATAAATCTGAAATGTACTTTAAACCAATGGCAGTCAAATGAATAATAGACTGTGTAATGGGAAGGTAGTAATATTCACTACTTTTTATCAATTTTTCTCTATATATGTTGATGAATGTAGGATTTCCAGTAGTGCCAGACCACACTGCAGTAGAGACAAGTAAATATTTGTTGAGCAAAGCATGACATTTTCATTGATATTGCTCTGCAACAGAGTTGTGTCAGCAGTGCCACAGCTGTTTTGCTGTCCTAATGTCACTGCCCTGGGTGTTAGGGGCACACTGGAAGTCCTTCCCCCTCAGAGAAGCCCCATAACTGAGCATGCTCTTACCAGCTGTTTTTATCATTATATTCTGGCCCTGTGGTCCTTGTCACCTTTTTCTGGTGCCTGCTGGACTCAGATGTGCCAGCTGTGCTGTTTTGCTCTGGAAGGATGCTGAGTGTGGGATATGTGTGATGACATGATGGTCCCATAGCAACAGGCTGTGATATCATCAGTGCCAGATGGTGAATTCTTTCAGGGACACATCAGAAAGAACAGCTGTGCTATAGAAAATCCTTACTCCAGAACTGCTCTTCTCTATCACCGCAGAAAATTGAGAAAATGGCAGACAAAATTTTTCCTCCTTTGCTTTTTGTGTTGAGCAGATCCCTCTTCAGGTCACCTACAGCTCCAGTGTGAGAGCATAAATGTATCTCCAGAGTGGAAAGTAATTTATAGAGAACTTGTTAACAAGATTAGTTATTTGCCCTTCGTGAGTGTGTTTTCCTATGCAGACCTGCTTTAGAAAGATGTCCTGTACTTTCTCTGTCAACAGCAGTTAAATCTTGTTTAAAAGCAGAAAAAGAGCTGCCTTACTGTCTCTTCCCTTCAATAGCTCTTTTAGCCTAGCTGTGTTACTTGCATTTTCAGGTCTAACAAAACGAAATCTGTTTCTCTGGCATGGTTAGAACTAAAGCTTTTTGTGGTAAATACATTGATAACAATTAGCAGCACTGGTGATTTGTGCTTTTTGAAACTGTCATTCCATGCATAGCCTGCAGTGCAGTGGTCCCATCAGCATGACAGAATTGTTCACCTCAATCCAAGAAGATAGGATGTCCTACTGGAATAAAACATACCAACTGCTTATATTGTTGGAAATTTTTAAATACCTCACTAAAAGACAGTAATTAAACAATTTTGTTTTGCTAGTTAAACTTCCTTCATGACAGGCTTTTGAAGTTAGAATTTATGTAAAACCCTTAAAATGCTAAAAACATTCTGCAGATTTTCAAGTACGATGCAGATTCTTTTCATTCTAGTAGGGTGCCCAAAATTATTATAATAATTGTAAAGAAAATATGTCCAAAAACTGTGTTGTGTTTCTTGATTTTCCAAAGTTATTTTGATTTCCTGGTTTCCAGTATTAAAATCTGAGGTGTTTTCTAATATAATTCTTAGCTGAGCAACCTTTAAAATGTTGAGTGGCTTAGCAGCTTCACTTCCAAGGCCTGAAATAACATCTGAATGTATGCTGAATGTAGGAAAAACACCTACACTGCCTCTCCCACCACTGCCACCCCCATGAAGCTACCTGGAATTGAATGAATATGCACTGTGATGCATTTTTCTGGCCACATCCATGACACTTTATATCTCCAAGAATCCAGCTGAGCAGTTTCCTGGGCTTCTCATTTCTTCAGTTCTTTTCAGCACACCTCTCTTCTTGCTCCTTCATGTTCTTTTTCACAAAGACTCCTTCCTGACTGTGTCTCTCCACCCCAGCACACGCTGTTCTACAGGCTGATGATGCTCTCTCAGCCCCTGCACTCTTGTCTGCCTCGCACAAGGAGGGCAAAACCTGTTGCCTGGACACTCAGTTGCTGGCAGAGCACATGAGAAGGACTAATGGAGATGACCAGATTTTCTGATCAATGCCTCTGGCACCATAAATGCTGAAAGCAGAAAGTATCAAGACCCTTCCCACAGCATTGCCCCTGGCCTGTCAGTGGGTAAGGGAAGAATTTTCTCTCCTCTTTTCCTACCTAAAAGAAAATCTCCTCACTGTTGTGCAAATGGTGGGAATTGTGTCACTGCCAGTTTGTTTCTCTCCACTGCAGCCAATCACCCAAAACCTTTCTAAAGTTGCAGTGCAATGAACCACCACAATCCTGTTGAACACCAGGGAAAGGCTTTTGTAAGACTTTCCCCTAGTGGGAGAAACAATTGCTGGATACAGTGTCTGGCCTGCACAATCCATCTGTTAAAGTTATGTGTCTTAACAGTACATCTCAGTCAACTGCACCTCCAAGGGCAAGGAGTAACTGTAACTTGGGAGCTCAGCCATTTGGAAGACCAACCAGGCAACTGTGATCTATTACCACCCAGCAGATGAGGACGTTGCTAAGGCAGTTTCTCAGTGTAAGAATGATTTTATCTCTTTTTTCTCTCTTTTCAGCCCTCTTGGCCAGCTGGCATCCCGTTTTTTCCTTTTCCAGCAGTCATTGGTTCAGTTTGGCGTGATCCTTCAGAGTGGGAGCAGCAGCCTATTTAGAGCTTCAAACACATAAAGACTGACTGGCTGGAACCCCAGAGAACAACCTAGCAAGAGGCTGATGAGGGCACTTAGCCAGACCATCTCTGAAACACTATTGTTAAAAGAACCTGATGTGCATGTTAAGTAAACATCAAATATGCAAAACCCAGTACATGTAACTTGCAGATAATAGCATAAGGTAATGGGCCCTATCTCCAAATAAATAATAGCACCCTCATAACCACAGGCAGTTTCAATATTTTCTGTTCACTTTCAATGCCCTCTGGATGGGTCATATCTCTAACACAATAAAACTCCCCCAGGCTCCAGCAGGAGCTGGATTTAGTATTAAACCCTGGGTAAAATGAGGGAAAGAAATTTCTCTTGCACACAAACAGGCAAAAGCTCTAGAATAAATGTGATCCAGGAAGTTATTATATAAAGGCATTGATAATTTCATTTGCATATAAAATAATAACAAGAACGGAAGCTAAATTATCCCATATATACAGAAACCCTGGGTGTTCAGGATTGGCTATTCAT